ATTCAGATTTATATTGATGTAAGGTATATAAATGTAAGTACAGTTTGAATCAGTGCAATATTATTTTCACACATCAATGGACCACTGAACTTCTCAGCTTCTAAAATGTAAAGCCTCATTTAGAAACTACACAAGTAGATATAATGGTCAGGGATCAACATGAACCTGTCTTTTCTATTTGACTTTGATCAACTCTGCAGTGTCTCCATCATCCCAAACACAAAGTCCAGCATAGAGCGGCTGAGTGAATGTGGTCTGGACTCTGTGGAGGAGAGTCATGGTTTCAGAGACGCTGTAGAAAGACAGAATACCTGCTCTGTGATCCAGGTACACTCCTACTCTGGAGGACTGAGGACCTGAGAGGACAGTGAGGAAACCATTGTGCCAAAATTGAAAACTGCTTGTTTCACAATGTAATTCCCAAGATTTGTCATTGTTTCCAAATCCACATTCATATGAGCTCCCTGCTCTGCTGATATTCTTGTATGCGACTGCTACACCAACTTCTCCACCTCTCCACTCCACCTCCCAGTAACAACGTCCAGTCAGACTCTCTCTACTCAGAACCTGAGAATATTCAGTAAATCTGTCTGGATGATCAGGATAAGACTGTTGTTGTTTCATTACTGTTACTTTTCTGTTTCCCTCAGATAATAACAGATGTGTGTTTGCTGTGTTTGGATCCAGTGTGATTTCATGTGAATATTTTAAGAATCCAGCTCTGGTCTTTGGCTCTGGTGGTGACAGTAAAACATCCTCTTCAGTGACTGTCAGTGAGATGTTTGTCCATTCCTCTCTCAGAATGTCCTGTAGTTTATCTCTGGTCTCTGACACAGCTGCTGTCACATCCTCAAAGTAGCTCAGAGGCCGAATATTTTGCATTTTGGATTCTTTTCTTAGTATGATGATGTTGATTAATAATCTATGTTTCAGTTATTCTTGTTTAGGGATTAGTTCGTAGGTTTTGTGTTCTCATGTTTATTGCAGGTTTAGTTCTAGTTCCATGTGTCATTTTCTGTCTGTCTCTAAGTGTCGTGTCCGCATCCTTGTGTAGTGTTTTCTTGTTTCCTGTTTTAGTAAAGGTCTGCGTCTCATGTGAGTGTGTTCAGTATTACCGCCCTTGTCTCGTCTCGTTAATTACTCCCAGCTGTGTGTAATCTCCCTGTGTTTCTCTGTGTGTATTTAAGTCGCGTCTTCTAAACTCGGCTTTGCCTGTGAATCACTCTTTGCTTCTCTTCCTCCTTCCATCTCCTCATCTGATCTATCACTACCTCGGCAATGCAACAAATGGTACATGTGTTATTGTTACCTGTGCTCCTTTTAATCCAGCTGGTGAGGGATCCACAGCCTTTAGCAGCTCCTTTTGTCACTGTTTCCTCCTCATGTCCTTACAGGGCACTCTGTGCAGGAAGAAAGCTTATTAAATGTTTAAACTGTAGAGATACAACACTTTTACTGTTTTAAAATCAGCATTTTGTCATATTTAAAACCCAGTAAGCCACTACTTGTGCAGTAAATAAAAGGCCAGGTAATGTTTGTCGGGCTGTTCCACAGTGCACACTGCAATTCTTTCAAGAGGAAAGGGGCAGGTGCTCAAAATATTTAAAGCTATTTGTTGCAACATGAGGGCAGATGGGAATAATGAGGAACAGAGCAAGGAACTAATGATGTCCAATGCCCACATTGGACTGGCAGCATGGCACTCGGGAGCTCAAAACCTTTTAGAATCAGGATGAAATCACCCAGAGAATATTTTGTTTCAAATAATGCTAATTATCAAGCAGGAACTTAGGTCCGCTATGTTTAAGACAGACATGTTCCATAGTAAAACAATTTATTGACGCCCATTTAATATACATCACATAAAAAGCCGATGATTTGCTTGCACATGTACTGTAAATTATGAGCTGTAGCTTATTAGGCCTACCAGATAAAGACAGGTCCAGAAAAACACCAACTCATATGTGCAGCTCAAACCAGGGGTGCGTAAATCACAGCACACAGAAACTCCCACCACCAAGGCACTAAGTCACCTCAACTTCAGGCCTTCAGCTTCTGATTAAAAGAAAAAAAATCCCCCAAAAGTTGATTCTGTTCATCTGGACGTCATCCAAGTGACTTCTTCAGTCTCAGCTGACTGCAGGTTTCCCCCAACCTTATAAACAGTACATTTGCATAATGACTGAAATCAGCCCACTAAAGGAACAATGGGCTGGGAGGTCAGTTCCTTCATCTTAATTATGCAAATTCTCACGACCATTGATCAAAGACCACTGATCAATGGCCATGAGTACCATTCACAGAGAGTTGGGAAATGGCTGCAATCACAGCATTGTAAGATGGTGAAAGTTGTACCCTTAGGCCCCCTCCCCGATTCAGAGATGGTCTTTCCCTTTTCACATAAATGGCCTCCTTGACTCCGCGCTCAAACCAGCGTTCTTCCCTGTCCAGGATGTGTACATCCTCATCATTGAAAGAGTGTCCACTGGCCTGTAGGTGTAAATAGACTGCAGAGTCCTGGCCTGACGAGGTAGCTCTTCTGTGTTGTGCCATCCACTTCGCCAGAGGTTGTTTGGTTTCCCAGATGTATAAATCCTGGCAATCCTCCTGGCACTCAACAGCGTACACTATGTTACTCTGTTTGTGTCGGGGGACCCGATCCTTGGGGTGCAATGCAAGGGGGCACCACCTAAAATCTTTCCTACTGCACCAGCGTGGTCATGGCCTGGACTGTCAGGAATAATATTTGCAGGTGAAAAAGGTGGATGAGAGAGTTACCATTATTGTAAGAGAGGAAATAAGGAGAGAAGCTTTTCACCTGATGGTGTTGTTATTGTTGTTGATCCTGGATTCTAGAAATCTTCCCAGATATGTTCATCACACCTAAAACTAAGATGTGTTTTGTTTGTGAAACAGCAGACGAGTGTTTATTCTTAAACTACTGAAAGAGTTCTATTTGTATTTTTTTTTACTGAGGCTGGCATTACTGTTTCTCTCGATTGCTTAAACACATTTCTTGAAACTATGCTTCGTATTTCCAAAACAGTAACACAAATCCATAAAATCTCACCCAATTTCCCAAACATCGTATTGTCATGTCAAAATAAAGCTCTACACTCAAAACCTTTCACTCTTGCTGAAAATCCATACTTTCCCACAGACACCACACACAAGGCCTCAAAAACAAACTACAATATAGTCTTACAAATTGGTGCAATAAATGTAAAACAATATCTCCAAAACTGGCAAGTTTCCTTCCCTCAAAAACATTCTCACAAGATGAACACAAAAGATGCAACCATTGTATATACAGTGGCACATTTTTATTCATGTACTATACAGTACAACACACACCAAAAACATTATTCCACCTCAACATCCTGTTTTTGGTCTGGGTCATGCCAGAGAATCTCATCCACATCACAGGCTATATTGGCCCTAGCCAGGCAGCGGGGGTAAAATCCTCTTGCATGCCTGATCCATAGCATGCATCTACTGATATGTATAAGCAAGCGTCTTCCACGGCCTGGAGGAGGTGCACACAGACATAAGGTTCTCTGTCATAGACTTTCAACCGCCACGCCAAACATAACTCCTCTATCAGATTTAGAAAGGGAGAGCATGCAGGCAGAAAGATGTTAGACAACTCTCTGCTCTGGCTGTGCTGGTTCCCTGTAGTCCCGCTGGAACATATGTTCTCTCAAACCATCAAGAAAAGCAAGGAGAAGCATAGTGTTATAGGGTCCTAGAATGGTATGGCAGTGGAGTACCCCTCATTGGCTGATTGCTGCGCACAGAGTGACATCCCCTCCACGCTGACCAGGGACATTTACAAAAGCCCGATGGCCAATTATGTTCCTCCTCCTCGACCTCCTCCATCTCCTCCTCCCTGGTGTCCTAGACCTTCTCCTCCTCCGCCTCCTTGACCTCTTCCTTTGCATGTCTTTGGATCCATTGTCTCAAACCTGAATGAGCTGACTTTGGCCCTTTTGTCTATCCATCAAAATTTCTGATTGGTGTGTGATACGTTTTGACTCCTAGTGTTTACAGTTTGTTAATTGTGTACTAATTGAGCTAAAGCTGTGCTGATGCGAGTTCACATTATTGACTGCTATTGCTTTCTAAGGCTACATTCACACTGCAGGCGAAAGCGCATCAAATCCGATTTTTTTGACCCTATGCGACCCATATCCGATCGTGGTATGACAGTGTGAACGGCACAAATCCGATATTTTCAAATCCGATCTGGGTCACTTTCGTATGTGGTACTGAATCCGATACATATCCGATGTTTCAGAAAGCGACTGCTGTTTGAATGGTCA